AAATTTATCCTCGTGGGCGACAATAGCCGACAAAACACACTACGTGGATGACTGCAACCGCCCGACAGTGCTTCAATGTCACTTGTACTAAAATCGAAAAATTCGACCGTTGGACACCACGGTCGTTGACGCGCACACGTAAAACCCCGCTCCATGAAGCGCCTTGCAGCCGACGAACCGCCCCCACGCATTTTCGCACCAACGGTAACGGTCGAATGGTTGTTGGCGGCCCGTCGGGTACTGGAGGCCGACAACTTCCGCCTAATGGACCACGGACGACTTGTGCACCAACATCGACTCTGAATTCTCTTGTGGGCGCTCGCTCCATAACACTCCGTCTATTGCGGCTCCTTCAACCCAAGGGACCTCGCGAGGACCCCTTGAATCCAAGGACGTTCTGGCTGGGGATTCCGAGGAACCCAAGGAAATCTCTTGGGAGCGTTTTCACATTTGTTCAAGGGATTTGGTGAATTAGGACGCGGTGTAACGACACCAGTTTCCTAAAAATCGGATTTCCAAGGAGGGTCTAACGAGGCCCTGACTCCACTATTCACCAAATGTGCAAAATGAGAACGAATCTTCCGCTAGAACACGAAAAGATACACCAATCTTCTTCTGCTAGAACATGGAAAGATACACCACCATTTTTTTGTCTTTTGTGCATTTGGAGAGTAGTGGAGCGAGGCCCCAACATCAGCCATAGTTGGCCCTAAGGACAGTTACGCCCGTAAACGTTTTCCTTCATGATCCTTCTTTCCAATCCTTCTCGGGGGAATGGGCAAACTTTTTCCTTGGGGCTCACCACAGAGCCTTTCGAAACGTGCAAAATGGATGCCGCATCTTCGCCACACAGGCTTTCGAAACAAATCCTTTCAAAAACCTTTTGAAAGGTGTCAAAGACGTGGGCATTGAAAGGAGTTTCGAAAGGGCAAGATCCTCCCGCCTGTCATGAGTGTTTCAGACCGTGAGTGGTCTTTTGGAAAGGGCCTCTCGAGACGGCCAATTAGCGGGAATAAAAAGAAAAAGAAAAGGGGCGATTACCAGGGCCTGGCTCCACTACTCTCCAGATTCACAAAGGACACAAATCATGGTGGTGTATTTTTCCATGTTTAAGGGGAAGATTCACACCATCCTTTTGCACATGACGAGAGTAGTGGAGTGAGGCCCTAATGTGCATATCGCTGTCTCGAAAGTCTGTGTGGCGAAGGGGGGGTTTCTTTCGAAAGTACTTTCGAATTCTGTCTGACAAATTTTGGAAAATGCCTCGTTTCGGCTGTGTGGCGAGCCCCTTTATCGAGTAGGCACGACGACCATAGACATCAACCAAAAAAAAAGAAGGGAAAACTACGCGGGAGTCACAAAAACGAGTTATAATTGCACTATGGGCCAAGATACAGTTTCGAATTGCAGTTCGGGCAACGTATACAACCCAGCTATCTGGCCAGGTAAGGTGCCCAAAGTGCAATTGCAAACTTTATCTTGCCCCATAGTGCAATTATAACTGAAATTGACATCAACGAGAAACGAGATTCCCACTGTATACCTTTCTTGGCCTTCTGGCTAAGATCAAGTGTAGTATCTGTTCTGATCAGTTTAATATCTGATCCGTGGTCAATCGGGCCACATGACAAAAAAAAAAAAAAAAGATTCCCACTGTACCTATCCACCAACCTGCGAACCACCACCAAACAAAAAAGAGAAAGAGAGAAGTAAGAAAAGGCCATTGGGCCTCGCTGCACTACTCGAAATGTGCAAAATGCGACTGAGTCCTCCCCTAGAACATGGAAGGATACATTGCCATTTTTTTTTGTCTTTTGTGCATCTGGAGAGTAGTGCAGCGCGGCCCATTGACACTCTCCAGTTTCCCCCCCCTCTTCGTGTTGTCTTTTTGTCGATTTGTGCGTGTCATCCTTGTGCACAGGAGCGCCTCATATCTCCTCTCAAACACCCAACCCATGAAGGGCCTCGCCACACCACTCTTGAAACCGTGAAATGTTTCAAGAGCTGTCAGACCTTTTCAAGAGGTGAGTTTTTTAGTGTTTTTGGCCCTTCGCCACACATACTCTTGAAAGAGGAACTCTTGCACGGGGGCTATTTGCTCAATTCTACCAAATGCAGAAGGGATGAACACTTAATTTTGGCCTCTTGTGAGCCGTTTCAGCTGACACCTCTTGAGAATCATGACTCCTTCAAGGGGCCGGGCAAGGACGCTTGAAAAGCTGAGGGTTGCAGGCTTGGAAACAAAGAGTCTCAAGAGTTCCCTCTTGAAGATCAATTCTGACAGCTCCTCTTTTTTTTTTTTGGTTGGTTCACGGTTTCAAGACACTGTGTAGCAACATCCAAAGGGCCTCCCTACACCACTGTCGAAAGGCAAAAAAAATTGACGGCTGTCAGAATAAATTCGACAGCCTCCCTTCGACACTTCGCCCCCCTTTAGCCACACAGCACTGTAGAGTGGACGCACTTGTGAATGCAAGATGGAAAAAGACGAACGCGCCTGAGGGTACGACAAGCGTTAGTGCATCCGGCCTGACGCCCACTCACCAAATTTCGAAGAGAAGCCGATGGAGCAGCCGAGGACTGTCGAAGAGTAGCAGGCTGGGGATTCAACAACTTTCAACAGGAGGTGTTGAGAAGCATTCTCTGACAACTTGGGAATTCTCTGCCAGTCTCCAGTTTCGACAGCCTGTGTGGGCAAGAGAAACTATCGAAAATCGCGTTTTCGACACTTGTGTGGTGAGGCCCAAATTCTTGAAAATGAGTTTTCAAGTTTTCAAGAGTGGTGTGGCAGAGGCCCGAACTGTTGACGAACAGAACTGAGTTCGAGTCCCAAAAATATCGCAAGTCCATAGCACTCTTGTGTCTCTTTATTGGGCCAAAAATATCTGAAGTGCATAGCACTCTTGTGTCTCTCTCCACCAACCACATGCACAAAAGACTAAAAATAAAGCAGTGTACCTTCCCATGTTCTGGGGGCAGATTCGGGTGTACCTACACTCGGACTTTTCTACTTTTTTCTGGGGGGAATTGTGGCCAGATTTATCCAGGCCCCGCCATTGAAAAAGGCCCACTGTTGTTGTTGTTTGGAGGGCAGAAGAGGCAAGTGTCCACGTTGATCAAGATCTTTTTTTTTTTTTTTTTTTTTTTTTCAAAAGGGCGATGGCCTTGAGGTATTATCATGGGACTAACCAGCCCAGGTAAATTCAATATTGTGTCTAATCTGACATCAGGTGGCCTTTTCAGCCCAGGGCGGCCTTGATTGACTTCAGGGAACCCCCAATGGGGGACACCGGCCAGGGGACAGCCGGTGGCAGAGGGACCGAGCATCATCTGAATGGCCAGTCGCTGTGCCTCCCTGATTACCCCTCCCCCTATTAACATCAGCAGAGACTGCTTTTTAATGCCAAAATTGGGGCGACCAGCGGGCTATCTTTAAGCAGCAGGCGCCAAGCATGCCCAGGAAGTTACATGACGCCAGTGGGGATTGAACCGAAGACCTCCTAAATGCCACTTGCGTGCCTTACCAACTGAGCTAGGCCGCAGGGCCTCGCTGCATTGCTTTCTCCTTTATTTAATCTTTCATCTATCTCATCTTGGTGGTAGTATGCATCTATCTCATCCTCTCACTAGTCTCATCCTCCTACTAGTCTTCATCCTCCTACTAGTCTATGTATAGTACGGGGAACACAAACCAACCGGGATCTCTCCCCAGCCCACAGGGTAGGTTGGCACCACAGCTGTGGTGCGAGAGCAAGGCTGTACCAGTCCCTCATCACGGTGACGAGGGGTGGGCAGGCATTGGCGGTGGGGGAAATCGGGGGTGCTAGGGCCGAGCAATGGCCAGTCACTGCACCTCCCCATAACGCCAGTCTCTGCATTTCCCCATAACACCCACCCACACCCCCCGCCGCATGGCCGTGTCTGATGGCCAATATTGTTGCTGCTTAGCAGCCAGCAACATCAGCCGAGGCCCTGCCTACTTTCGAAACGACGGTTATGGTCTCTGTCCCGCCAAGCGATGCAGGTTTGGCGTCATCGACACCTGCCTTTTCTGCCCTACAATTCTTTTTTTTTTTTTTTAAATGGGCGACGGCCTTGAGATATTATCATTGAGCTGACCGGCCCCAAGCAATTCATTAGTAGTTGGTTTTACTCGTCACGTTCCATCATCTGGATTCGAACACAGGTCTGTATTTCAGCAGTTCATGGGTGTACCCACTGAGCTAGGCTCTTGGGTCTGCCCTACAATTCCGTCCAGAAAAAAGTACAAAAAGTCCCAGTGTGAGTACCCCTGAATCTGCCCCAAGAACATCGGAAGGTACACTGCTTTATTTTTAGTCTTTTGTGCAGGTGGTTGGTGGAGCGAGACACAAGACTGCGATGGACTTCAGATATTTTTGGCCCAATAAAGAGACACAAGAGTGCGACGGTCTTGAGATATTTTTGGGACTCGAACTCAGTTCTGTTTGTCAACAATTCATTGGTGTAACCTTCAGCGACGGCCACGCCACATCGGTTGGGGGTGTTTGCGAGGAGATTTGCGAGGAGATATGAGGCTCCTCTGCACAACGACACCCACAAATCGACAAAAAGACAACACGAAGGGGAAAAAAACCGGGATAGTGTCAATGGGCATCGCCACACCACTCTCGAAACGTGCAAAATGAGAATGAACTTTCCGCTAGAACACCGCCAGATGCAACCTCCACATTTTTGTCTTTTTCACATTTCGAGAGTGGTGTCGCGAGGTTTGGGACCACGTCCATGGCGCCATTTTTGTTGTCGATGAGCCTCGCTCCAGTACTATCTACATGCACAGAAGGCAAAAATCATGGCGGTGTATGTTTCCAAGTTCTAGTGAAAGATTCACTCTCGCTTGCACATTTTGAGAGTGATAGACCCAGGCCTGATATCGCCGATCGACTGCATGGGCGGTCGGCGATCGACAACCCGCCGGATGCTGAAGCGCGCCGGGCGGATAAATTAACCGGACGGACGGTCTTCAGGCGGCATTGCTAGTCTATCTGCGTGATTGGTGGCTTGCGCGCTGCGAAGCGAGCGGAGGGAGAAGAGCTCGCAGCCGCTGCAGCGACGGTAGAACGGACACTGTCCTTCTCCTGTAGGAGACGCTTTAGAGATAGGAAGGGTGAGAGAGACAAGGAGAGAGAGAGAGAGAGTAGATCAGAGGAAGCTGCGAAGATGGCAGTTGCTGCTGCTTCGGTTGCCGGACTCCAGGTCGCGGCGAAGGCGGGTTTGTCGTCGAGCCTGCATGAGAACAAGTCTTCTCTCTCCTCCTCCTCCTCAGCGGCCATCTCCGGCGTACGGCTCTCTCTTTCTTCTGTCTTTGCCAAGAAGAGCAAGAGCTTCGCACTCGCAGCCGTGTCTCCATCTGCCTCTGCTTCTTCTCCCTATGACTTCAACGACTTCAAATTCGAACCTATCAAGGAATCGACAGTCTCGAGGGAGATGACGCGCCGCTACATGACGGACATGATCACATACGCAGACACGGATGTGGTGATTGTGGGCGCGGGGTCGGCGGGCTTGAGCTGCGCTTACGAGCTCAGCAAGAACCCCGATATCCGCGTGGCAATCGTCGAGCAGTCGGTGTCCCCCGGAGGCGGAGCTTGGTTGGGCGGGCAGCTGTTTTCTGCGATGATCGTGCGCAAACCCGCGCACATCTTCCTCGACGAACTCGGCGTTGAGTACGACGAGCAGGACACGTACGTTGTCATCAAGCATGCCGCGCTCTTCACCTCCACCGTCATGAGCAAACTGCTGGCTCGACCCAACGTCAAGCTCTTCAACGCCGTCGCCGCCGAAGACCTTATCGTGAAGGGAGGGAGAGTGGGAGGCGTGGTTACCAATTGGGCCCTGGTGTCTCTGAATCACGACACGCAGAGCTGCATGGATCCCAATGTGATGGAGGCCAAGGTGGTGGTTAGCTCTTGTGGCCACGATGGACCTTTCGGTGCCACCGGGGTCAAGCGATTGAAGAGCATTGGCATGGTGGACAACCTCCCCGGCATGAAAGCTTTGGACATGAACTCCGCTGAAGACGCCATCGTGCGTCTTACCAGGGAGGTGGTCCCCGGCATGATTGTGACCGGCATGGAAGTTGCCGAAGTTGAGGGTGCTCCCCGTATGGGTCCGACTTTCGGCGCCATGATGGTATCCGGACAGAAGGCCGCCCACCTCGCGCTCAAGGCTCTCGGTCTGCCCAATGCCATCGACGGGACGGCAGACAGATCTTCGCTCGCGGCTCCGGAGTTGCTTCTTGCGTCTGCTGAGGACGGAGACACCGTGACGGCTTAGAAGTCTGGCCTGGTAGTTTTTCGTTCACTTTGAGAGAAAGAACGAGGTGGGGGGGAAAGGGGGGGGCAGAGGGGGGAACACACCACAGCACTGTCTTTCTTACTTCGGGGAAGATGGATTGTAGCATAGGTTTCAATCGTTCTAGATATATGTATATCGTTTAGACCGATGGGATAGAGAAATGTATGTACACAGACATTCCGTGTGGGATAGCTTTAGAGACGGACAAATGTATGATGTAGACTTTTTGTCTGGTGTGAAATGTGCTCTGCACTACTTGTTTGTAAATTTCATATCTCCAAGTATGATTGCCATTTGCTACTTCCATCCATAGGATGAG